TGTCATTTCTCCTTCCCTTTGAATTTTGGGGTTCTCTTCTGATTTCCCTCTTTCCATGCTGAAGTCACTTCTAATTTTCCCTAATGGTCTCCCTCCATTCCTAGTAGTAAATTTAGCAACTTCTCCTCTGGCATGTTGACAGCAAATGGCTCCTGTTTGGGTCTGACACTTGATCAGGGTGGTGACAGGACCCAGACAAAGCAGGCACAATGCTGGGGAGGGTGAAGAGGGGAGACAGATCACCTTCCTTCCACTCCAGGCCTTATTTGGTCTACCTTGGTGGAGCTGCCTGCCCACCCCCCTTCGCCCCACTCCTCTTTATTTATAGCACTTGCTTTGCCCTCCTTTGTCTTGTCTGCCGTCACTCTGTAGTATATGCTGCACAATCCTTAATTGCTCCCATGCATCCCTGCTCCTCACCCTCAAGTTTTTTCTATCAGGAATGTGCATGCATGCAAAGCCTCTGGCTCTAAGCTTACCCCCAAATTTCACTACTACAACAACTAAGCAGATCTATCCAAGGAGGTATCTTTCTTTGGATCGCTCTTATGTGTCTATCCTCATTTACTAGAACAATGCCTGGTACACAATGGATATTGTTGTTGTTAGGTGCCATCGAGTTGAATACGACTCATAGTTACCCTTTAAACAACAGATCTTAGCCTTGTCCTATCCTGTGCCATCTTCATAATCTCTGATCCATTTGAACCCCTTGCTGTAGTCACTGTATCAATCTATCTTGTTGAGGATCTTCTCTTTCATTGAGCCTCCACCCCTTCCAAGCATGATGTCCTTCTCCAAGGAATAATTTCTCGTAGCAACATGGCCAAAGCATGTGAGACGAAGTTGCACCATCCTCGCCACTAAGGAGCACTCTGTCTGCACTTTTTCCAAGACATACCTGTTTGTTCTGTTGGCCGTCCATGGGGTAGTGCTTTTCTCCAACACCGCAGCGCAAAGGCATCAATTCTTCTGTCATCCTTATTCATTGTCCAGCTCTCAAATGCATAGCAAGTGATGGAAAAGACCATGTTCTGAATCATCAGGTACACCTTAGTCTTCAAACTGACATCATTGCTCCTCAGAAGTTTGGAGCAATTCCTGACAGTGAGCTTGCCCAGTGCAATATGTCTTCTGGTTTCCTGACTGCTTGTACCAAGTGTACACAATAGAACTCAGTAAGTGCTAAACAAAAGGAGCTTTGATGGCCTAGTGGCAGGAAGCTGTGCTGCAATCCCAAAGACACGTGGTTCGAGTCCACCAGCTGTTCTGTGGGAGAAGGATGGACAATCTCCTCCCATGCAATTAACTACCTTTGAAAACTTGCTGGAGGGTAAGTTATGGATCGGTTGGTTCCTACTCTATGCTACAACAACAAATGCTCAACAAAGCTTCTCTGTCTTCAGACAGCTTTGAACAGAGAAAGAGAATCATAGTGGAGGCAAACAGGCACTAGAGGTTCTGAGGAGTAGGTAGGGATATTTAAGAACATCATCCCCTCCAATCTGCAGAAGATACATAGCACAGAGGTGGATTCTAGTTCACAACAGTGTGTAGTGAATAGCAACATCAAGCACCAATAGGCCAGTGCCTGAGAGGAAGGAAGCAACATGTCATTGATTCTACTGAATGTAGAAAAATCTTAACTACACAGCCTAGGCGGCAGGCCCATGGTGAAGACAACATTCTCCTACGTGGATCTCAATTGCCTGCATCTGAGCCTGGTAGCTGGGAAATCACAAATGCATGTCTATGCCCGAAAAGCTGGAAGGGATGAATGAAATAGTTTTTATTCTTCTGTAGCAGTGTCTGATGGCTCTATTGGCCCTGACTCCCCCGCACCTGGCAAGGGCTTGGGGGGACCCCTAGCATTTTCTACTGGCCATGGAAACAGTGGAGCCTACCAGGACCATGTTGGCTGCAGAGCTGTGACTGCAGAGCTGTGACTGCAGCAGTGTTCATGGCTCCTCACCGGTCCCTTTGCATACATCCCCCCTCCCTACTCCAGCAGCTCAGTGTCCTCCGACTGTGCCTTGCTTACCAAGAAGTCACATGGAGGCCTACACCTGGATTTGTCCTTCCCCACCATGCCCACCTCACCTTCAAAATGAACCTGCTCTGTGCCCCATCCCCCAGGCCTGCTTTTCCCTTCCAAGCTGAAAGCTAATCAGATGAGTGAATCCGCATGCGCTGAGGAACTGGGCATGGGAAGGAAGGGAGGGCAATTTCAAACCAAACCCCAGAGTAGTTGCCTGGAAATGGAGCTGGTGGAGCCTGCATGCCCATCTATCACTGGGAGTGTGTTCTGTGCTTTTCGGCTGAGCCTCTGCTCCCTTTCCCTTCCTCCTCAATGTCTGTTACTAATGGTCTGGAGGAGAGGAATAGTTCATTCCTGTCTCTTATCCTACCTGTTAAGAACATCAGTCCTACCTGGACCTGGGCAGAGATGGCCTCACAGAACACCAGAGGGCAGGTGGGCTGGACAGCATCGTGCTGGTTAGGGTAGCTAGCAGCTATGTTAGCTGCAGCTCTGAGTGTCTGGCTGGAGTTAGGGCATTCAGCACCAGAGGGGCAGGGTGAAGGGCTCTGGAGTAAGACCCTAGAAAGCTGGTTCTGCTCCTGCCATACAGTAGGGTTCTCCCTCCCCACACAGAGAGAATGTCCTTTCCTCCTTGGGCTCTGAGCTTGCCTTCCCAGGTTCCCTTCCACTCCATTCTCCTCTGCTGAGGTTTTCCTTCTTGAAGCTTGCTGCCCTGTGTGACTGTTTAAGTAAGGCACTTCCCTTCTCCGTAAAATGATGGGGTTGGACAGATCAGTGAAGGCTTTTCTGGCTCAGAGGCTCAGTGACCTCAGCACATTGCCCTGCTGGTCCAGGGAAGTTGGTGTCCAAGCCAGAGTCTGCATATCTAAGCTCCCTGATTGTTGCCCTGGCCTCTTGGCTAGGAAGTCGCCTTCAAACTGCTTTTTAGTCTAGCTCCTCACTCTGAGCCCATACCCCCAACCCTTCTCTCTTGTTGGCAGGCAGCCCCCTCCCATTTCACAGTAGGATACAGGACCCAGATGGGGAGTGATGACCAGGGAGGACACTGTGGAAGTCCTGGGGGGTGTGAGGGGGGAAGAAACCAGCAGCATCAGGGGCTAGGAAACAGCCCTGCTGAAGGACTGAGGTCCAGCCTGCCTGAGTTTCTGGTGGTCCTGGTCCGTTACTCCTACCCCCTACCAGTTGTGGAATGTGAGGTCTGGCCTAGGAGATATTTTTGCTGCACTTTGAGCCACCCCGCCCCCTGGAACTCAGACCCTGCACACTCCATGCCATAACAATGACGACCACTTCCAATTGTTTCCTAGCTGAAGTGGGGGGAGGGCGGAGGGGAGAGCTGTTTGGGAAAGGGGGGGGCAGCCTGGGGGAAATGCTTCTAGTGACAACAACCCTTTCTAAATCTGGCTAGGGCCTGGGTGCAGGTGGGGGTGGGGGCGCCCTGCTGCCCCATATATACAACCCCTGAGACCAGGTCTGACGCTATAGCCTCCTCTTCTGCTCTGTGTCTTTCTCTTCTTGCTGCTCTCAGGTAGGAGCAGGGGGCCAAATGTCTTCTGGGATAAGGAGCCCCAGGTTGTGAAATGAGGGAGAGGGAAGAGGATGTCAGAAAAAAGATCACATAGAAGGTCTAGAACATATACATGCTCTTGTCCAGGCATGTGGAGATGGCTGTGTGTACATCCAGGAGTGGTGAATGTGTGTGTATCTCGTCTTTATACCCATGAGAACATACTGCAGTGCGGGTCTATTTACCCACATCTAAGTGTGCATATCTGTTTTTAAGGCCAATACGACACACTGCTGAGGGCACTCATGTGCTGAATTATCAAGAGTGCGTCTTTGTACGAATGTGAGTGAGCTGTATTATATGTGTCCCTAAGAGGACAAGTGGAGAGCATTTAGCTTTGTGATGGGTGTATCTGTGACAGGATGCCCATGGTATCTCCTCACTGAGAATGTCCACATTGTCTGAGAAAAACGTAGGGATATGATGGAAGAGAGATAGCTTTGGATATATGAGGCTTGTGTTCAAATCTTGGCTCTACCACTTATTGTTATGTACTTATGGGCAGGCAGGTCACTTTAACTTAATTTCCTCATCTGTAAAATGGGGTGATGGTTCAGTAAGAGAATGTGCATTTATTTGTGGACTATAATGCACTGAATAGATGTGGCTCTTAGTTGTTTCTCAGGTGATTCAGACAGTCACTGGACGTATGTAGGCAAGGGTGGGTTATCTTCTAGGAGTAAGGGAATGTAAGGCTCAGAGTTGAGGCGATAATGGGAAACTGCTAGAACTACTAGTACTTGGAGAATAACATTTGAAAAGCAAGAATGTAGATGGCATCAGAGAAGCTGACCCTCAATTCCAGGCCGCTTTCAGGAGTGAGGGGAAAGGATGAGTGCTAGAGGGCAGAGTCAAAGGGAAGCAGGCAGATGATGCTGGCCAGGTTAGGCTATGATGACACTGCCTTCCCTGTGTCCAGGTTCCTTCAGGCCTGTGCCTCTTCCCCATCTGTAGACACATCCAGGAAGCCAAGGTAAGAAGAGTTGAAGATGAGGATGACAGAGTCTGGGGAGGATGGCATGCCTACAGAGCTCTAGTTTTTGCCCTGCCTTGCGGAGGATATCTTGACTACTCTGAGGCTCATACCTTTAACTAGCGAAGGCAGGGTCATCGACAGGTGAGCGTCAAAGAGGAAAGCAGTTAGATTCCTGCCTCCACAAGAAACAAATAGTACTCTTTCTTCTGCAAGGAGATACTCAATAAGGACAGAACTTAGCTATCCTTCTACCCTGTGAGGGCTGGTGAGATCATTCTGCTTAAAGAACAAGCTTGCCATTGACCCCTTTTGACTCTTGAGAATTTTGCTTGCACTGACAGTCCAAGGAGGGGAAGAGGAAATCAGGCTGATGGGAAGAGGTTGAGCTGTTTCTCCTTCACACAGCAGGAGTCGCCATGGCAGATGCGGAGATGGCCGCCTTTGGGGCTGCTGCTCCCTTCCTGCGCAAATCAGAGAAGGAACGGCTTGAGGCCCAGACCAGGCCCTTTGACCTCAAGAAGGATGTCTTTGTGCCTGATGACAAAGAAGAATTTGTCAAGGCCAAGATTGTGTCTCGAGAAGGTGGCAAAGTCACCGCTGAGACGGAGAATGGCAAGGTAGGTAGGTGGCAAGGCTGTTGTGAGAGGACACTTGGATACCTCCATTCTTGGGGTCACACAAGAGAGGAGTCGAGCTAGCATCCACCCCTCACAGACCTGAGGACAGTCAGAATGTCCTTTCCTTTAGGTGTGGGTCCAAACCCTCAAAAGAGCCTTTCTCATTCCCAATATTCAACCTATTTTCTCTGCGATATACTACTGCTCTCTCTTCTCAAGCCCCAATGTCCTGATAACTTTTCTTCCATTATGAGAAAACTCTACAGTGTTCCTTGTGACGGCAGGAGAGAGAGGTTCAGGGTGAACAGTGTGGGGTGACGGGAAGGTCTGTCTATGGGCTGTTGCAGACAGTGACAGTGAAGGAGGACCAGGTGATGCAACAGAACCCGCCCAAGTTTGACAAGATCGAGGACATGGCCATGCTGACCTTCCTGCATGAGCCCGC